CCTTTAGGAATCAAAGCTCAAAACTTGTTTTTTCTCCTCTTTCTTTATATCTCCTCTCCTCTAGATCCTCTCCGTTTGATCCCCTCTCCGTTTGATCCCCTCTCCGTTTGATCCCCTCTCCACTCCTCTTCATTTTTCTTCCATTCTTGTATCCTTCCCTTCCCTTCCCATATCTTCTTGTATTCCTAACCTTTCACTTTCCTTCCTTATCCTTCTCTTAGTATACATAATAAATACTTGGTACTTGTTTGAAACTTTTTTTAATGATTTCTTCTTTGTCAAACATGCCATTTAGCTAGTCMCACCAGTCCGTTAGCAAAAGGTGCTGGTCCTAGATAAACAAGAAAAAATAGAGTGAAATAGTTATCCATGCATCCATTCATTCCGTTCATTCTATCCACCCATCCAACTATCCCATCCGAAGGACCGTCAATTATATTTAACAAACGCAACGACCTATTCAAACATCCTTGTTTTTCTTTTGATCATCAACATTGTCTTTTTTTCTCACTCACCTGGATAATCTAGCAATAAGAGCATGTTTTCTTGCACCACTTCTTCATGATTTTACGGCAGCTCGTGCAGCGTCCAGCAGCTTTATAAGCMTCACAGCGTGGCGACCTATCCTTGCATACGTCTGCAACGGACAAATAATTTAACCCAGTATATATTTTTGGCATGTTCGATTACGTCAAGTTTTTAACGGGCTAATATTCACGTWTTTTCTCATTCACAACCATTAAACAAAATCAAAAAACGATACTATAGGGAAAGACACAAGGTGTGAAAAGGGAAAACGACCACGGTAAGGAGGTCTTTTAAGAAACAACAACCTCAATGGTTTAAATTACCTAAGAACATGCGTAATAGGTAAATTACGAGCCTTGTATGACCACACGACTTACCGCCTCATCTCTAGTGGGTTGAATTACCGCCATTTATTTAAAAATATATAAATCTATATAATAGAGGCAATAAAGTGTCTAGACGTTTTACTTTTTCTCAAGAGGGCCCAATCAATTCCCACTTCCCATCCATCCCCCTTATCCTAGGTACGACTTCARTTTCTGTCTACTGACCTGGGGCGCTTGTTGTTGGTGCAGTTGGGACTGGACCTTCAGGTTTGAAGAGAACAATGTAAAACAGTTTTGAGAGTTTGAATAATTATTTTTAAGAAAACACAAAAATAACATTATTTAGATGAAATGTCATACTGACTTTGTGGTCTGACTTGTGGTCCCTCCCCCCATCCCTTCCATGCGCCTGCATTAAAAAAAAAACCAGCTCACTTATTACAGGGACGTATCCAGGGGAGGGGTACAGGGGGTACCCACCCCTCCCTTGTTCGACTTTGTGCCCCAGCTTCGAAGATAACCAATACTGTTTTTTCTTTTGTATTCTAATGGGTGCACCCCTCACTGGGTTAAATTTGTGCGCAGCAACACTCCCTGAACAAAATCCTGGATCCGCCRCTGTGTTATTTTCGTGATCTTAAATTATCTTAAACTGATAATTAGCCAAGGGAGATATCTGATTTTCAACAGGTACAGTTTCCATGTGTAGGACACACATGGAAATGTAATAACACACAAGAAATTGTGTTCCCGTAATTCTATGCAGACTCATTCACATTCCGGTTTTGCCTCATTTCAGCGTCGATCGCGAACTTTTCACAAATGCCAACAGTAAATCAAGAAAACATAACTTCAACAATACGAATTAACGCTATGAAAATCTACAGACCTTCATTGAAACTCATGAATATTCTACGCAAATCGGGGCTAACCCTGAGCAACTGAGAACTCAAAACTGGAGTGCCACATCCCTCGGCTTCCTTCGAATTGTGAAATTCCCTTTGGTCTGGCCCCTTGCTCCAACTTAATGGCCATAGATGGGTGGCATAGATGGCGTAGTGGTTTACTGCTCGCCTCTCACCGCTGTGGCCCCAGTTCGAGCCCTAGCTCAGACTGGATCTTATGTGAGTTGAGTTTGTTTGTTGTGTTGTTCTCTCCCTTGCCACGAGGGTTTTCTCTGGGATCTCCGGTTTCCTCCCTCTGTAACAGGCAACATGTGAGTTGTGTGTTGCAATATAGAATGTAGTGGTAGTACGTGTGGAGGGAACCTCGCGGAAGAGCCCCGCATGGGGAGTGGTGGTTGTAAAATATAATCTTTTTAGATCTATAAATACTTTTGCTTACCACCATATAAGCTTTGTATACCACTGATATCATCAGAATGCAGCTTCATTCCAGGCGTGTATCCCGTGTAGTAAGGATACATGACTGCACCCTGCACATTGGAATGAGAAAGCCCGAGAGAATGTCCAAACTCATGGGTTGCCACCCAGAGAAGGTTAGTGCCTTGGTCAGTGTTAGATGTGTAGGTTTCACTCTCGTCAAAATGAGCGCGTCCATCCTCGGGGAAGAAKGCGTGTGCTAGGACTCCTCCTTGTCCATCRAATGGATATCCACAGGTGTTTTCTACGTTTGTGCCTTGATGTGTGTAATGACCAAAACTTTAAACACAAAAAAGATTCGTTAAAAACCCTCAAATATTYATACCCTGCGACCAATACTRATCTAATKAATAAAATGGGTGTTCATAAGTCGAATTCGAGTTTACTATGCTAGGTTTTCAGACTTTTCGCAGAAGAAAGAAACCGGAGAAAACACCTTAATTGAGGAGAACTTAAGCTTTACGTATTTACCAGCCACAGTTGTTATTATGAAAAAAAATTCTAAAAAAATCTCTGGTAGGTTTTGCTTATGTTTTGCGCTCATACATAAAACCAGTTTGTGAAATGGATGGCTTTCAGATAAGTGTGATTACGTCATTACACCTACGTTGTTTATGACGTCACTTTTCATAAAAAACTAAAGCCTGGTTCACACGAGCAACGCAAACGCAAACGCAACCGCAAACGCAAACGCAAAAAAACTACATGTGAACTACAGTAACACAAACGCAAACGCAAACGCAAACGCAGGGAATGGAAAATTTTCCATTTTCTTGTGCTTGCGTTTGCGTTTGCGTTTTTAACGTGTGAACCGGAGAAAACGCAAACGCAAGCACAAACGCAAGACGTGGTTCACACGAGCAACGCAAACGCAAACGCAAACGCAAGGAAAATACGTGTGAACTATAAACGATCACTACTGCGCATGCGTATCTTAATTTACTTGCATTTGCGTTGTACGTGTGAACATTGCTTGCGTTTGCGTTTGCGCTTGCGTTTGCGTTTGCGTTGCTCGTGTGAACCAGGCTTAAAAGTTTGTATTTGGTCGGAAAATTATAGCTGAGATGAAGTGGAAAAAAGTTAAGTATTGGTTTTACTTTACGTTTAAAAAATAACTTAAGGGATTTTAACATAACTTGGCAGCCTGACCTTTTCAACGTTAAAAAAATTGCTTAACTTTGTTTTATGTATGAGCGTAAAACATAAAAACCACTCAAAGATGACTGTTCCACTAGCGCGATTGAAATTTTTRCGGTTTACAATATCCGTAGCCGTGTACGCAAGATGAGGGATACTAACTGTGTCTTGTCTATACCTGATTTTAAGATCAGCATCATTTCCTGAATACACTTGTCGGAACGTCAACGACGACTGGTCAGCCCAAAACTGAAGGGCATTTCTGAAGTCTTTATCTTGCTGTKTCTTACTCAAGTCAGCGCCATGCTCGACGTAATACGTCAAGGCACTCTTCCTCCATTTTCCMTATGTGACGTAACGACGCCGTCGATTGCCATTATCGTCAACATCTGGCAAACCACATCTCGGCGTCTTCATCAGTTTTACCGTTGCCTGGTCTAGTTCACCGGTGACTGGGAGGCTGTTAAATTCCTGGAATTTCTTGATAGCAGATGGTAAGTCGTGGATTCCAGATCTGGATTTCGAAATGTAGTTGTACTTGTTGAGGAAGTTCTAGATGGAAATAGATTTTTTAACTTGAATTCGTTATATAGCCACGAAACTTTCCGATATAACGAAAACTCTCATTGGTTGAAATACACTAGCTAAATCTAAATGTATCCCGACTGGGAAATAAGTAGCTTATAAGTTGAACGTGACAAGAATRTTGAAAATAAAGAAGTGCACGTGATCGGAACGTGACTTAACGCCGGTGGCGTGATATTTTGAACCAATCGCAAGCAACAAAGCGGGAGCAGATATTATTTTCTGGAATTTTCAGTACAAATGGAGTTCAAAGCAAAAAAATGAAGGGAAAAAAAACAAAAAAGACAGAGATTTTCCAGTAATTCTAGAGAAGAATATACAGACTTTCGTCGAGAAAAAGGATTCGAAAAAATCCGAAAATACCTAAAAAGGGAATAAAAATACTGTTTTACTCTCCTCGCTTTTTGGTAGCGAAATACAAGGATGTATGTGAGTTGTATTTGTAAAATCATTCGTCAGTCTCCATGCATTTTTTAATTCAAAGATAGCTTGCTAAATAAAGTTCTTATTTCGTTAACTGACTTCTCGATATTTCTTAATTGCTATGTAAAAAAAACACTTAATGCCTGGCTCGGGAAATGAGGTAGCTAATTTTCTGCGCGTTTTTCTCTCGATGAATACCATATTTCCCCAGCGTTTAATTTAAAAAAAAAAACGAATTCGGTGACCCCTATTTTTAAATTTCATTTTTTGAACAAGAATATGTTGGGGTATGTTTATGMCAAGTTTAAAAACATTCTGATTGCAACTACATTTCACGCGAACGTCCTTAATCTTGTACACTCTAAGAGTAGATCCATGCATGGGGAGGATGATTTGGGTGACAAGTTAGGAGTCGAAGAAAAAAAAAGTAAAACCTAACAAGGACACTGTAATTCCACATTGCACTCTAGAGGCGTTTGACGACAGTGATGTTGTGAGGTTGCTCAAACATTTCCAAGTATTTGGATAACAACAAAAAATCACTTTCCAAGAAGGATCATTTATTTTTTAAAGATGTATTTCTTGATGCTATTTTTCTTTGTCCTACAACATGGGCTACTCTAAAAACCTTCGACATTAAAAAAGTTAAAAACAAACAGCAACAACATCACCCACAACACTGAAAAAACATCCACAAAAACAAACAAACAAACAAACAAAACAAAAAAACAATTAAAAAACAAAACACGGCCGATAACAAGAGAATAATAGAATTAGTTGTGTGGAACGTGTGCACATTTGGCTGCTAACAAAACTTAATTTAGTACAGGCAAGCAAACCATAAGGCTAAACATGTCAGTTAGCTAGGTATGTAATGTAATGTTTAATGAAAACACGCATTGGGTTTATGAACCAGATTAAAATTTTCTCACTCACCACAGCCATTGACTGATCATCTTCTCCAAGTACGACGACACTAAACGACAGAAAAACTACGACYAGATAGAGCATGTTGTCAACTCTAAATCGCTAAAAAGATTAATAAATCCACCCGAAGACTTAGAGTTGGATCTAACACTGGCTCCCACTTACAGTCTTCTGTAATTTATACTTTGGTATTGTTTGTAGTTTTACATCGTTGTTTACTTTAGTTTATCGAGTGTACAAATACCTCTAACCAGGTGATCTCGTTTTGACAGTCCATCAAAAAACCAGCCAATCATCGCGCAGAAAGAAATCTGATCAGGAGGTCCATCGAAAAAAAAAACAACAAAACATGGCGATGAAGTCAGTAAATCTTTGCTTCCCTAGCTACATTATGGACTAGTTAATACATTTAAAATTCTACCAATTTTTAAAACGAATACCTATGGGTCAAATGGTGCATTATGGTTTCAATTCTTGTATGAAATTATCGTGAAATGATAGCTCTTTGTTCGCCGATAGACAACTGATACTAGGACTGCCTGATCAACTACATCAATHCTTTGCGCGCCTTCCCCGAGATCACCTGGAACCGGTGAAAAACGGCTCGAATGTTATGCAAGTACTCTTATTACAACCTGTTTATATACATATTTTTTAACTCAGAGATTATATAAATAGATAAACTTTATCACAAAAAATGTATTTATTCACCGGCATGTTAACATGTTAAAAAGGTTTGAATTTCAATTCGCTTTTTTTTTTTTCTTTAAAACTGATACCCGTCAAGTTAAGCTCGAGGTGAATAATAGCGGATTTAAACAATCCATTTATTACAGGACGATAAAAATTTAATAAATGAATGTATTATTAGCTTCGGTGCCCCGCTATAAAATGCAACGGCGACTAATTTAATTGAGCGTAAAGATCGCTTAAGGTGGCTGACTTCTTTTCAACATTCGTTTGGAGCCCACGATGTGCGCGCGCCCAAAA